TCAGTTAACACAAAGTTTAGCAGGATTTCGGAAAGTACCTGTAAGTCCTCTGAAGTAGCCTGATTGAGATTCGTCATATCACCGATTCTTCTATTTATTCGAGCGATCACCTCATGTTCTTCCTCCTTTAGCCATGCACTGAAATCAGAATCGATAAAGAAGCATCAGATGCATTTGAGCATCAGGTGCATTCACTAAAATTAAGTGCTTGACAATTTTGTTTGCAAAAAATGTAGAACTCAGATGACTACACACTGCAATAAAGAAAAAGTAACGTCAGGTGGGTGGGAAGCAGATAAAAAAAACAGAGGGTCACGAACTACAATTACCTCTTACTAATACGGTAGCTGGCTGTCTCTAGATCACCCGTCACGGCATTCTGTACAGTAGCACGTTTGAGCTGAAAACGAAACCACACAATCATCATGCAGGTCAGGGTAATTCACAAACGCCTTTGGGTTTATTGGCGAAACCGGAGCTGCGTTCCCGGCCGGGAGCACACCAAAACACAAATGAAGAGGTCAGATCAGGCACACAGTGAAAGGGTTAACCGAAGAAGTTGCTTGCAGTTATTCCCACACAAGAGAGATACCTTTTAGAAATACGGAAGTCGACGGTGATCAGAGAGCCGTCCTCGGCCTTCACCGTTGCGCGCTCCAGCTCAAAATTTCATTATTCCGTTGAATCAATGAGAGTTCACGGAAATTCTGTTTGTCTTCCAACGGTAAGCAAGAATTTATGAAAAGCTTTACTGGGCATTAACCACGGTAGAGTAAGATTGAAGAACTCCAGTAAAGGTTTGAACATCAGCCCGACTAAACTGCAGTTCATGCTTTCTCTCGAAAGCGACTTCGGTATATTCCTTAGACGCTCAAAAACGCTTTTAATTTTACATATTTCAAGACGTTGTTTCAACTACTGTCCACCTTGGTCCGACAGCTCGAAATTCCGCTTCTTGAGCGCTAGTCGATGTATGGGAGTGTGTTTATAAAATAAAAAATTGTAATCCTAGTTTACCTTGGGCGTAGCTGTTGCTTTGATTACTTCAGCTTCGTATTCAGACATAACTTCTTTGAAGAGTACTGCTAGTGGCTCGAGCCGTAGAATTTCGACTTTGATAGGAGCAAGGCGAAGATATGGCCTGTCCATCTGAAACAGAACATGACAGGAAGTGTGGTAGAGATTGCGATCCTTATAGCGGGCAGGGACAGTGCGGCGAGAAGTATAACGTTTGAGCTTTTGAGCCCATAGGCGCTAGATAGTTTGAGAGTACTTCTTCCACGTATAGTTCTGTCCAAGATTTAGAGCAATATTTTGTCTGATATCAATAAGGTAGCAGGACAAGTGATAGGTCGTCTCGATCTGTAAGATGTGAGGTTACCTTGACTACGTCACGTGAAGAACTTGGTTTTTTAGCTCCTTTTCCATCAAAGTATGCCATGAACTGGTAATCAGGGCTTACCGAACTTGCACCTATGCTCAGTTTACCAACAAAACTCCACATCACCCATTCAGTCTGACGCCGTTTATTTCAATTCTTCTTCCTCAGATATGGACGAAATACCACACCAAACTTGATAGTATGAATGACGTTTCGTTACTTTAGCTCAGAGCATTTTCTGGTTCTCGATTTTCGTATATATTGCCTTTGAATAGAGCATAAATATGGTCACCTTCAGATAGCAGTAGAGCCTCTTCTCTTCCTCGGGTGGCACAGGTGGTACCTCGCCTCGGCATAACGCTTCGTATGCATCTCGCTCAACGATTCCATCATTTTCCACTCGCTGAAATTCGCGTATTTTTACCAGCCGTAGCTTGAGAAAAATACAACATTTCTCTAAAATGGCTGACTTTGTTGACAATTGGTGGTAGCTCGCCTTCCATATCCTTGCCTTCTAACATATCCTCGTACCATTTCACATTTCCTTAATGCAATGATTATTTACGCGAATGATCACAAGTTCTCTTTTGTTGTAGTTTAATAGTTGACGAAAGGTATTGGTATTGGTATTTTACGCCTACCAAAGTTTAGGTGGAGCTAGCTGTTGACTTCAACGTTCTATATTTTGACGTGATCATCTCTTCAGAGACCTTAACGCAATTCAATATGATATGCACACACCCAACTGGTGCCCAACTCCTCCAGCAAATCCGACCTGCTCAGAACTCCATAGAAAACAAACCAAAACTAGTTCCTGTCTCGTCCCACATATTCATAACAATCCTCCTCAAACATCTTGTCTTATTGGAAAATATCAGTCTGTATATAACTTCTTTTGTGTGTCTCTTAGACCATAGATGTTTGTTTGTTTGTATGTGTCCGTCACCGGTTTTTCCGTCAGAACATATGATAATGTCAATACCTTTAGAGNCATATTCATAACAATCCTCCTCAAACATCTTGTCTTATTGGAAAATATCAGTCTGCATATAAGTTCTTTTGTGTGTCTCTTAGACCATTGATGTTTGTTTGTTTGTAGGTATCCGTCACCGGTGTTTCCGTCAGAACATATGATAATGTCAATACCTTTAGAGCCCTGTTTGTTGAATGGTCTGTTTTTAACTAACTGTTGCTTTATGTTGTTGTAAGGAATGTCAAGCAACTCAGATCAGTTTGCATTGTGGTAGATCTATTTAGCGTGTCGTATTACTATCGTAGTCTAATACAAAGGCAGTTATAAGGTAATGGGCGACAATGACCTAATTATTCGCTTAGCCACACAAGTTTCTAGGCTTATTTCAAAAACCAATATTTTTACAATTTAATATTTCTCTTGCTGTAGAATGCAGTTAGTAAAATATGAGTCTAGCAACGGTTTAAGAATGGAAAGGACAGGAGGCCCTAATCACAGCAAGAAAAGTGTTCGAGTTTTTCTCAAAAAAGGTAAAGATCTTTGCTTTGTGTGAATTATCAATCACGGTGATGACCTGATTGACTAAGCTTGAGCTTGAGCAAACTCTTCCGGACATCAGCAAAACTCTACTGGAAATCTTCTAGACAGCCCCGCTAAAATGATCGCATTCTACTGTCAATCGTACCGTCACTTCAATGGCACAATATGCTGTTTCGCAAGACTGGGGCTTACTCTTGACAGAACACTTATCTTAACCTTTTGAAAAAAAGAAAACCCCATCGAAGATACATTCGTTCCCAAGCAAAGCCATCCCTTTGAATTGCTTCATGCCCGGAATGACTGATGTACAGACCAACTTCATAGGAACATCAGAGGGTGTTGAACGTATATAGAAGCTTTCAAGACATTTAATCCGGTCCCTGCTACCACCTGTTCCTTTTAAGTCAGTAAAAAAATTTCTTCTTCCGGCCTATCCTTGTTCAGATGCTCAAACATCAGATGGCCTTATAGTAAACACATCGCAAACCACAAAATATTGAGAATTAGAAAACAAATAGCTTTTCGAGCAAAGCGCTTCAGAACACTGTATACTTGTACTCGTAACTTTAGAAGTTCGAGCGATAAGCAGAATTTCAAGTTCGATATAATTAAATTCACTGCGTTATAGATTAGTCATCTGCGAAATTCGGCTGACGTCAGATGCAAAGCAAAACTTTGAAGTTATGAGTGTGAGTAATGAGTTCAGAGTAACGAAACAGCACTATCAATCAAAAGCGTACGTCATGAGAAATAAACTTGTGTAAATGTTGTGTAATACCACAAAAGAAACAGGAATGCGAGATCAGAAAAGCCAAGAAACAATAGAAGTTTACCTTTGGCCCGTGGATGGTTGGGAGCAAGTGCTGCTAGCCTCTTCGTCAATGCGAGAGCTCGACGGACATTACCCTGTTGGTAGAGAGCATATGCGAGGTATTCCAAAACCTCTTCTTCCTCGATTGTTCTCGGATTTTCATGTTCCAGCTGAAAAATTCAAGAGTAGCTAGTTTGCTGATTGGTGGTAGTAGCTCGTCCTCATTTCCTCAATACAAAGATTAGGTCGCTCAAGCTGCAGCACCTCCTTAAAGTTGCTACGGTTCACCGTGCAATCCACATCGCTGATTAGGATTGGTAATGGGCCTCATTAATCATGTCGTTGACCCCTTTTTTCGCATTCAAACTAGTGCTTAACATTTTTTGGATGAGGCAGTGTATAACGAGATTGTTGATGGGTTGACAGAAAGTTACTGCATATTGTATGTGCTGAAAAAAAAACTTAAAATGATCCGTTAAGATATTCAGACAAGCAGTGAATTCCTGCTATTTCGATAATTAACTTGGGGGGATAGATTGATGGAACCGAATGCAAAAGATGTTAGAAAGCGGTAGCATTTGTTTAAAGAAGATAAGGGAGGACAATAACCATGAGCATGAGCCAATGGGAAGGCCATGCTTTTCGTTTCGAAATTGGAACCATCGCACTCTAGTGGGATATTCGAGTTAAGACTTAACCGTAGATTAAGTGATTGGAAATGATTGGTACAAAAATTCAGGTCGTATAAGGTTGGTGACAGATAGTAGAAGCAGTTGGAAGGGATGAGGGGACGATGGTAGTCAGAAGAAGGGACCTGTTACACCCTCGTAATTGAGCAGAATCTTGTCATTGGGAACGAATGTCAAGATCCTGCTATGTGGGGCCTTCTGGGTTTTTACGGGAAGGGGGTAGGATAGAGCAGACTGAGGTTGATAGCGGGCTTTAAAATTGAAAACGGTAAAGCCGTTGTTATCTGAGCTGTCACAACATTGGTGTTAACGGTGGCACCTTGACACAACAGTGGCAGATGGTTGGAACATTGAGAGAACTGATAGAGGTCCACACCTACATATTGGGTGCTGAACACTTGATTAGGGATTACATTTCCTTCCCGTCGACATCAGTTGGAGGACGAACTGGTGGACCACCAATCCTCCTCATTTTTTGAAGTGAACGAAAACGGAGGTAGAAGAACCCATGGATACGACCATATCAGCGTAGGTAGGGAAATATGATCCTGACCAGTGGAAGATGAGCTTCCACAATTAGCAGTTTTTTGCTTTTTTTTCTCCGCCCTTTAAAAAAACTAATTCTCTTCGAACTGCGTTTCAGAAAAAAAGAAAAAATCATATCAGGAAGTCGTCGTTAGTAGGATGATCGTTTCGATGGAAAGTTGTGTTTCTACGTAGACTGCATGGTGTTGCCCCGTGCGACGTAGCACGATCAGGCGGATGCATCGAAAAGGCCGTGCTACACCGCCGACTCTTTTACCTTTAGCTCCACACCTTAAATGTTCCAAAAGCTGCTTGATGATACGTTTGCTTTACCAGACAGATGATAGTGTCTTACTCCCTGCGCGAAAGTCAGAATAGTGCAACGTAATCTCCACAGCTGCTATTCACAAGTCCGATCCACGCCGAACAGAAGGCATCTACAGCACAATTCGATTTCCAATCTTATACAAGATGCGTTCAGTTGAATAGTTCTGATGTTTAGAATGGCGACCAGACATCAGATGGCATTCGTCGTTGATGGTCCATGCTCTGACTAAAGCGACAAACCGAAACAGGTGCTGAACAATTTAGTTCTACAATCTTAATGGCCGTGCAACTATTCTACCAAGGACCTAAAACGTACTGAAATTCACTGAAAGTCGAACACGGATGAGAATGAAACAAAAAATGCTCACTCTGTTCATTGCCGTCTGCATCCATGTCAAAGTATGGTAGTAGTCTCGTTGATTGTATGCAGCTCTTCCCACCTATAAAAGAGGCTATAACAGCAACATCACAATTACCTCATAGTAAAGTGCACAACCCATCAGAGCATTTGAATAGACATGAAATCATAACATTCTTTGCTGCGCACTTGAAACTCTTGATTATGGGGAGGATGGTAAAGTGACCTGGTGAGGACATGGAAGAGATGCTCTGTGAGTTGAGAAGTTTTTGGCTTTTTCATTAAGGCGCATGTTCATGTATGCAAGAAACAACGGGATGAGCAGGGCGTACTGGTGGAAGATAATTAGAAAGGATAAAAACCGTTAACAAGAATGTATGGCCCATCATTCGTAACCTTTTTATCACAGTAAAAATGACAACAAATAATGAAGGCTGGTGAAAGTAGTTGAGAAGCACTTGCCACAGTTTCTTCACTGCCCACCTGTTAAGATTATAGCTGTCTCTGAGAAGTGTTAAATATTCTAAAAAGAGATTTTTTTCTATATGCAATCAAAGCTGACAAATACTAGGTATAGTAGTGGTTGGCAAATACGATTAACCGATGTCCTTTATACATATGACTATAATAAGAGTCAAGCAATCATACTTCTAACTCGCAGCTAGCAAGACCGTATACCCATTAAATATTCAGATCCGAGGTCCTTGTCCACTACGTGTATTCCTTACCGACTTACTTGTAATACTATAAAAAAGGAATAAGCATTGATTGATTGTTCAATCATAACGCAGGTCGATATTGACCACTTACGATTGATATGGAAGGGCATGGGTTATAAGATAGTTGTGTACTTCGCCTTGAACTCAACCCGTACCTTATTCGGGGCTATCTTATGAGCTTTCCCTCCAGTGTCAAGGCCCTAGTTTGTAGGGAGTTCCCGAAATCGCTACCTCTATCATCCACGGAGGGTTTGCAGACGCACAGAGAAACCGATAAACATGTATACCGACAGACCGACTAACAAGCTTTTACCTGCTTACTACATACTTAATGTTTCAGAGGATAACAGTGTCAGCAGAACTTCGACCCCCCTCCCCCCTCCTCCTCCCCCACCATCGTGAAATTTCGACGGATGGTAACAGATTTATATAAAGATAACGAAAAAATGGAAAAAACTTTTCACCCGTTTTTGGAATTCGAGAACATTTGAGTATTTTTTTGGGAGGGGAGGTCTGTTACAATATGTTGTAGACGTCAGAACAGTCTCGAAGCTTCTATGTATATATACGAATACATATATCCAATGTCCGGAAGTTAGCACCCGCAGATTTTGTAGACCTCCTCTACGACACAGCTCAATATAGATAAGGACGTTAATGAAGTGGGGAAGCTAGAGGAGCACGTGGCGCTCCAAATGCCTCATTCCCCTGATACTGCTCAGTTAGATT